TTTTCGAAAAGGCAAGTTTTGATTCCGATAATTTTGGATCACTAGACTTTCAGCTAGGAAATCCGAACAGATGATAAGTAACAAATAATAAACAAAGAATGGCTATTTTAAACAAACCGATCTAGATTATTCTGCTGCACGGAAAGGACACTGATGACCGTAAATCAGTCAACGAGTTTCGAAAGAGTGAAAATCACGTACTCTTACTAAGGCTCGAACGTCAAACAATATCACACCTGATATCAGCGAGTAAAGAGGGAAATGGCACGACTGAAACAGATACGTCAAATACGTACGCCGTAAGCTTTGGTCAATAATGCTACATGATTTCTTTGTGAATATTGTCAAAGAGTTACGTTGAAGTAATGGGTTAACTCCAGCAGCCAAATTTCGGCTATAAGAGATCATAAGAAGCTAATGAAGATTGATAATTTTGTAGCCCAGTATGCAGTCCAGTATAATATTCCCCAAATAACTGTCTAGGAGACCCAAAAGTTGATCGACAAACTGTGTAGCTCGAAAGCAACAGTTTGAGTTACTTAGACCGGGTTTTGCCCCCTATAGCAGTAATGCCTTTTATATATTAGAATAAAGCTCAAAATCATTTTATAATTAAAAACGTTCATTGCGAATTCTATGAACATTTTTCATGTCGGAAATGGATGTTGCTCATACAAAGCCTTGGAATAGAATTCACCTACGCATTAAAAAACGCCTGAGTTTTCGCAGGTATTGTGGCAGCAAAATTCGAGGAAAATGATCAGAAGGGATCCACTTTTCCCCTTCTAGTGAAGCAAAAGTTTAGTATTAAAATATATCACATTTTTTTAACATTTAGTTACGTAATTTTCTAATCAACCAACCATTTAAAGACTACGAATTCGCCTTAGAGTCTTTGCGTCTTAGCAGATAGGTCAGGGTAGGCGGAATTTTAAATTGCGTACAAGTGAAGTCATTCTGTAGAAAACGTTGCAGTCAAGAAGACTTTTGCCGTGACTGATCAAAGGACGTGAAATAGAGTTTAGTTGCGATATTTCGACTGGCCAATACCATTCTTTCTCAGGTTCATTGAGATATCACGAACTGATTTACAGAAGTATATTTGAGGTAAAACAATGACCGGTAATTACATATTATGACGTGGTATGGTGTGGCTATTCTGTGAGAAACATTAACTACATGTATTTTCTAAAAATAATGGTCACAACTAACTAAATGACATCAGAAACGTAAGGAATACACGATCGCCTATATATGCCTCAAATCGAAGCGGAGTCTTATTCGCTACAAATTTCAGCCATGTGACGTCTCTAACTCTTAAAATTAGCCAAACCCTCATCTTACGTATGAGATGCCGTGTGGAAGTTTTAGTGTCTAGGATACCCGAAAAGACATAAGTAAGGACGTCTAAAACAGTGGCACATACCTCAGGCTCCTGTTAATGCCTCGGCGACGAGGAGAAGAATCTGTCGTGAGATAGCTTTAGTAGCTTAAAATACCGGTAATATATTGCATATAATAATGTAAATGCTGGACTGGACCGGACTGTAGATTGGTCTGGAAAACATCACATTCACGGACTACAAAGAAAATCGCTAAGTTTATTATTCAGACCCTGAGGCACTTTGGACAAAAATAAAGAACCTAAAAGCCTTATTTAGCCACAATAAAGAGCTTTATGCTTCAAAAGAGGTGAAGTAAAATTCTCTTGCATCAGAAGGAAATTATGCCGACCAGAAATTCAAAAACCACAGAAAATCCGGCGATAAGCGTGTCATGACCTGTCAGTGTGAAACAAGCGGCTAAAATCACATTTGCTCAGTCAAAACATAGAACCGTCCAGAGCATAATCTACCCGTCAGCGAAAAAGACGTGTTAGAACAAGCAGCATTTTGGCATGAGGTAAAAGAGGTGTAGATTTTAGCAATGCGAGCAAATCTTGTCCTGATGCCAGTGTAGAAATGGCTTTCAAATTCTGATTGCGTAATACACGCGACATTCCCTGCCGCTCTAATTCCAAAAGACTTTCTTCGACAGCAGAGTTAAAATTCGAATTTACGTCCGCCGTTTCTGAATTCAGAATAATTCTTTCCAGCAGTTGCTGGTTGCGTACAAACGAAAACGGAATAGACAATACAGACTTAAAGTTGATTGACAGCCACGTCTATGCCTCAAATCGAAGCGGAGTCTCATTCGCTACAAATTTCAGCCATGTGACGTCTCTAACTCTTAAAATTAGCAATGAGAAGCCGAGTGGAAGTTTTAGTGTCTAGGATACCCGAAAGGATATAAGTAAGGTCTAAAACAGTGGCACATACCTCAGGCTCCTGTTAACGCCTCGGCGACGAGGAGAAGAAGAAGATAACTTCTGAATCAGTAGCTTCTTAATAATACATTGCATTCTTATAATAATAGGCCCCTTTCAGCTAGCCATTCTTGTCAAAACCGCCATGCTGGGGCACTTTTTCTCGAAAGGCCCATTAACTTTTCAGGCCCGAGGGCAAAACCTGTTGAATAGTAGCCCAGTTCGTAGTTCACAAGCTGGTCAAAAACAGAGGCACTTTTTGAAAGAGGTTTGCCAGGGTAGTCATGGGCGAGGGTTTACAGTCTGATTTAATAACCCTTTTTCCCGCCACACACCTCAAGCCACCTTCGCCAGTATTTTTGGTTTTATTTTCTCTAACCAACAACAGGCGATTTGTTTCAATGAGTTTGTGTACTTATGCTAATTTAGCAAAAAAAAATGCAGAAATTATGCTTCTCTTTTTTGACTTTAAATTTAGGTGAAACACCTCAAAATCATTCAACAAAGAAGTAAATGCAAACGTTAAACCTACTTACAATTCCTCGCGTATCACGGTCTTACGATTAAAGTATTCACTGGAACAGCAAAACTGTTTGACAACTCCGGCTTAAAACTCAAACAATAATTAACACGCCATCTCGGGTGCTAAAAAAAGTTTTTTTGCATGATTATCAAATGACAATTTTGTGGTGCGAAACAAGCCAAAAGTGCAAGTTATGCTAGCAGTGTTTTTTTTTTTGGAGAATAGATGAAAGTTATGCTTGTAATGACGAATTATGACAAAAATTATGCTGGCACAGTCTTTTAATATCTACTATATGGACTACTGGTTCGGTAGCCGAGATCTCGCCGTGTTTATAACCGGGATGCTGTTAATCAGTTTTGATTCGATAGTTTCATCGTGCTTGGCATTTATCGTGAAATAACGGTATGGGCCGCTTCAGTTAGAGATAACTGAAACATCAGGGGGGTGTTTCTGGGGTATTCGGACTTCTGGGGTGTTCCGGATGTGTTCCAGGGTGTTCCGGATTTTACAAACACCTCTTTGCGGGTTTGCAAAGTCGTTGTTTGGGTTATCTAACCTGTTGACTCCCTTTGCGGTCTCCCCAAAATAATATTTCTTTTAATATAATTATGTCATTAAAAACTAAGCCTTTAATATGCATAATTGTTTAAGCCTTATTTGAACTGTTCTATTGTTAACAACACTCATTTATTAGAATCCTGACTTTTCCATCTCATAATTTGATAACCTGGTTATTAAAAGCAATTCACAAAAAGCTCATTTTGTGTTTACGCGTCGCTGGCGTCGCGTCGTTGGTTTGTTATATAATCAAACCGACAAGCAACGCGTATGAACTAAAACTCGTTTGAATCATGGAGAATTCTCTTTTTAGCCATAGTTAGTAGAAGAGGTTAGGAAACCCGACAAACATCAAAGTTGAAAACAATGGTGCTGCAGTTTATGCTGGAAGCTCCCTGACTGTGCACAATCCTTTGTTTTCTGTTCACAAATTATGACTGAATAAATTAACGCAATGTTTCTATGGGTCAATAACTTCAAAACAGGGGCACCCAACGACAATTTTCGGAAAAATATCTGTTCGGAAGACGATTTGAGACCTAGAATTTTCGGAACATTTGTTGTAAAATTTCTTGCTTGCCTGCCTCTCCTAGGATTTTCGAACAACTAAAAAATGGTAAAATTGCCCATTTTCAACGGATTTTTACCCTAAAAAGGTCACCTAGAACTTTCGGGAGCCCTTTTTCCGGCTGAAATTTTCGAACAGGTAAGTTTTGATCCCTATAATTTTCGGATCACTAGACTTTCAGCTAGGAAATCCGAAAAGATGAAAAATTTATAGGGGATTAAAATATGCCCATATCCACCGTTGAAATACTAAAACACGTTTAACAATGCTATGTTTAAGTGGTTTTGAACTATATTCTCGTTGGGTGCCCCTGTTCAAAATGATAGGAGTGCTATTGAACGTTGTGCACGGACAGGTCCAAAAAAGCTAACAAAAACCTATGACAAAGGGGTTCCCAACCATTCTAGTTTAATTAACTATGTTTTAGCGAAGTAGCAAACATTCAGTTGCCTTTCATGATCAGCTAGGAAATAGACTGTTCACAGTCCTCTATTTTTCCGTAAGATCGTCGAGATCGAGCGCTTTGCGTTTCGGGCTGCATCTTGCATGAGTGTCAAAACTACTTAGGGGGCAGGGGGCGGTTTGGGAGGAAGCGAGAAAAATAGAGGGACTGTAATAACATCACTGCAGCTCGCGTTCTGGAGGCGTGACAGGAATTTCACGCCTTTTACCATTCATTAATTAAGAAACTCCGCTGGCGATGAAAAACATGCCAGACACATTTAGCATCGATTACGCGTGTTTACAAATACCTCCTTTCGAAACAGTGATTTTATAATGTTTCTAGGCCATTCCTACAAATAAAATCGGCAAACAGGCACAAGAGAAACATTTTCCTAATCGAATCGCTAAGCATGCTCACTTGACCATAGACTAAAATGGTTAAAACGTCCCGATAAAAAGCCAGGCATTTCTGACAGGTCATCTATTTTGCGTCGGCGTTGTGTTAAATTTCAGTTCGTTTGGCAGAAACTGTGTTACAACATTCCCGCGGCCGGGCTGCTTCCAAAGCATGTTGGCTTACGTGATTCATCCACAAAATACCAAAAATCGTTCGTGTGTTTGCGCAAGTTGTACCTTATGGTATGAAAGCGTGCGTTTTATAGAAACGACGACTTGTCAAAGACTTGTCAGTGTCGGCAACTTAAACTAAACCCGTTGTCAACGCAAATTAACATCTATTGTCTTATGACCAATCAAACGCCTGCGTTGCTGGTACAACGCGCTCCGTGAACGCAAACTGCAGTGATGTTATTACAGTCCCTCTATTTTTCTCGCCCACCTCCCCCTAGAGCTATAATCCCCGACGCCCGCCCCCTCGGTACATTTGAAAACCAAGATGGCTGTCATTAAAAGACGCGCTATATCTCAACGATCTCACGAGAAAATAGGGGACTGTGAACAGTCTAGCTAGGAAACTAAGATAAAAATTATCGGCAGCCTTACATTTAAAATTTAATGCGCTGAAGTACTCTATTGATTTCAAACAAAATCTGATAAACAAACTCCTTTTTTCAGTGTGTACTGCTTACTGTAAAAACCTAATTAACCTGTGCCTGCAACGCAGGCTACAGTCGCTGAGGGTAAAAAGAAATTGCATCACAGGCGTTGATGTGTTTTTAATTTGAACGCAAGATGCCTTGAGACACTATATCATATCATATCATATCTGCTAAAGATGGGCTGCACTGCCCTTTGCAGATCAGACATTTAGACACCAATTCCTCACATGTAGTTGCGATTTCTCGTCAACGCCGTTTAAGATGCCCCCACCGACATTCTAATGAGAGTAGAAGCGGGAAGAAGCTGCGATCGTCAAATAAAATGCAAGTTTTGATCCATGTTGACTGTGTTTTGATACTTAGCCCCTTTGTTTAAGGGTGAGATTCGTGACACGTGAAAATTGGTTTTCACCCACGTGATACGTGAAATTTGTCAAAATTTGTACGTGAAACGGGACCATGAATCACTTTTACTACCCTCAAAAAGTGGTTTATCTACACAGTTTATTGAACAAGATCTAGTAGTACTTGTACAATTACACAATTGTCAGTAAATATGTAATATATATTCTATATATTATTATTATTATTTATATATATTTTTATACATTTTTTTCGATTTATAGTGTAGAAATTGTAGATGAAGAACCTCACTTTGTTGGATACTCTGCATGCAATAACCATTATTATTATTATTAGTAGTAGTAGTAGTAGTAGTAGTAGTAGTATTGTCTGTGCTCAGTCTTATAACTGTATATAGACTGATGTGTTCTTTAGCTAAACATAGCAAATGTTTTTAGCTGATCCAGTTTCACTCCCAATTATTTTTCCTAGAAAAGTAGCAGTTCACAATACAACAGTGGAAATAAATATAAACCTTTAAAAGGTTTGGCAAACAAAATTAGTTTTTCTCAGGGCCAGAGCTACACGGCTCATAAACTTTCTAATTAAAGTTACATCAGTAGTCTAGCTAGTTAATGATAAACTAAAAATGCCGTAGAGCATGATACATAGGTAAAAAAAAGGATACGATAAAGTGCCGTTAATAAAGCCTTTCTGAATCCAGGGGTGATAACGGAGAAATGATGTTAACAGCTGAGACCTTCCAGAATTACATGTTTTTAACCATGATTCTAGCAAATAATCAAAATAAACACAGGGGACCCCTACAGCGTATCTACCGGTACTTGAAAACCCAGACGATTTTCCTGTTAATCACCATTGTCGTCATCATCGTCATCATCGTCATCATCACTATCATCATAATCGTCACCACTCGTATCATCATCATCATTATCATCATCATCATCATCATCATCATCATCATCATCATCATCGTCATCACGACTATCATCACAATACCTATTATTACACTTAATTTCCTCTATGGCTTGGCCATCACATCCGGCATGATTTTCATGGGAACCAATGCAGAAACGCTGACGACGTTTTTCTCCGTTACCACATGTTGCTGAGCAGGAACTCCATGATTCCCATTGTGTCCAGAAGCTTTTGTCTATATCAAGAAAAAGATATTATTAATACCCAATCAGTCGAGTTTTTTGTGGCCCACAAACACCAATAGCCATTTGGAATGAATCAGAACAAATTGATCTAACTTTAATTTAAGAAGCAGTAAAGTTTTAAGGTCATTTCAACTTCAGATCTAACATTTAACATTCTTCAACGTAGTCTTTAATTGTATTGATCCAATTGTCAACATACAGTAAATCAGGGGCACCCAACGACGGTTTCTTCCTACATACATTGAAAACATCTAGATATGCATTCTAAGCGACGCTACAAAATTTGTATCTGTTCGGTCATCCTAGGCGGAACTTGAGTCTTTTCTAAATTACAACGGCTTCAGTATTATTTGACCGAAAATTTTAGATGCAATTTGAAGTATTATGATGGTTAGATTTTTCATATTCCTCTCTCCATCACATTTTTGAATCCAAAATTTTAGGTTTCCAATTTTTTTTTAATTGAAAATAACCTAATCAGTCGTGAGAGGAGTGGAATGTGAAAAATTAAACTTCAGCAAATCGAAGCGAATTTATTAAGATAAGCTTCGAAAATTCCACATGAATGGAACAGTCATCTAAAAATTGTTAGCCGTCCTCAAGTAAAAGAATAGTCTAGGCAATATATATTTGCTTCAGTTGCGTCTGCCGCGAACGGATGTTTTACAGCAAACAGTCGTTGGGTGCCCCTGACAAATTCTGGAGATGACGATGCACAAACTTTTGCATCAACGTAAAACACCATACAGCCCCATTTTAGGTGGACCCACATGCCAAGGCAAAGTGGGTATATGCAGTTTGTTCTCGGGGGGGTACTCCTATAAATTTTCGATAGGTAGAGCCTCAAAAACCATACCCTATCTAGCGGCGCATACCTATCTAGCCCGTATATGGGAGAAATTAACCCCAGAGGGCTTGTTTTGCATCTCAGTTGCTGACTAACACTGATGCTGCAGGGCTGTGTGACAATGATATTTGTTTATCCGTTTTAACTCAATATTTTTTAAATAAAGGCTGCAGTAACATTTGCTTACCGCGATTAAACAGAATGTGCCTTAACGTCGCATTTTGAAAGGAAGGATTGTTTAAGATTTCGTCATTAACGTAACATTGTCCAAATATATGTAAAAAGAATATAAAACATCTGCTTGCTTAGTTGTCCACGCAATATCCTGTGCCATCATTAAATGTCAAAAGAGTTCATACTTTTTTTTTGTTCAATATTGTTATATCACGCATCTACTTCGTGTTTCCTTAGGCTGCGTAGCTACTAGAAACGATCGAGCGACTCGTGCCGTTTCTTAGGGTTGTTCATTACTTTCTATTCTTATTCTTTCAAAAGAAATTGGTAAACACTGTATGATTTCATTATTTCTCGTGATTAATGAGTTTGCAGCTGCTTCCTCAGTTTTTTGGTAAGCAAATAAAAACTTCTGCTCACCTTTTACCTGATGAAATATCAGATGTTGAGAAAATTTAAGCGATTTTTCTGGCATACATTCTTTACCCCACTGTGTTATCCCTTCATTGTTCAGCTCGCAGGTACCCAATTTTGCGTCTAGGTTGTAGGAAATACAATCCTCCATTTCTACACAAGCAATCAGGCATTGAAGCCAGTCATACGATTGAAGTCTCTTGAAAACTTGACCCGTCAAATATTTATTGCGATGAGTAACAGAAGGAGGGAAACAATTTCTTGGCGATTGCGTCTGAAATTCCGAATCAGCTCCTAGAATCATTTTACAACAGGCGCTGGCAAGCCAAAGAATGCTTAGTGCAAATATCCTGTGAGGGACGCTGAAATGCCAGGAAAATGACTCGCTGCGCTTGAACCGGTTCATAACTGTTCGCGAGGAGTTGACTTCTGGATTGACTTATGCTTTAACGGGAACAAAACTTCCGAATATTGATATAGAAGCAGACCCACGGTACTTGTCATGGGTCCTTTCTTTAATGAGTATAAAAAATAGAATACATCTCTAATTATACGGGCGGTCTTTTGAAAATTTGCATTAAGATTATGTTTATTCCTAACTGACGACTCATTATGATCCTGTAAACAATGTCTTTTTATTGCTGTTTTGTTATCTATGTCTATCTTTTTATTAGGCTGGGAAACTTATGACAAGACTCCCGGTAAATTTTGGCCGATGTTTTAAAAGGTATTTAGATAAAGGTATCGCTTACTTATTCACCCGAAGGGGCTAGGGAGTCGCCAGAAAACATACCTCACTTAAAAGTTCGTTAGCTCAATCTATTATAGACTCGAAGTTAAAGTTAAGTAACACATATATACACATCCCGTTTTGATTATGAAATTGAGTAAATAAAAAGAGATAGATATTTTGGGTTATACGGCATAACCCATAACAACCCCAAAAACTGAAACTGCAACGCGCTATCCTCCAGTCTAAAGCAAGCGGAGCCTCTCCACCGCCACTTCTCTTGATTTTAAGAAAATAATAATAGTAATAATAATATTATTAAAATAAAATAAAAGGAACGGTCCTGCTTAAAGATGGGGAAGCTAGTTCATGATATGGCACTGGGATGGACACGCAAATTTGATGACATTGATGTTGGAAATCCTATATAAAGTGTACGAGAAGCCGTTTTAATCAAGAAAAATATATGATTCAAGAAAAAAACATCCCCTCGCGATGATCCTGGCAAGTGCGGAAAGTCCTATTTCGCTAACTCAATGTTGTACCCAATTCAAATCTCCAGGGGTTAAGATTTTTTTGTATTGGATTTGCATTATAATGTGGCATTCCGTGACATTTACGTGATATGGAAGTTCCTAACACAAAGCGTTTTATTCCCACAGGGTTTGAATTGGGTACAACATTGAGTTAGCCGAATAGGTCTATTCCTCATAACATACCATATTATGGGCAGTTTTCTTTGTCCCTAGGGAAAGCCTTACATTCTCTCTTATAAATTCAACCTAGCTTAATACGGACACCCGTTATAGCCGTAAATGCAGACAACGGACATTTATTTCTTTAGTTAGAAAGCCTACCTCGCATACCCGCAGTGCCGGATTCGGGGGGGACGGTTATCCGGACCAGTTAGAAAAGAGGGGGAGGGGGCGGTGTCCAGAAATTTTTTTTCAGTTTGGTCTAACAATAAGCGGCGGGGGGGGGAAGGGGCATAATAAGCCCTTCCAGTTGTAGGCCCATTTACCTGCAAACAAACAACAAAAAAAATACACCCGATTATAAGCCCCTCCCCCCGTGTAAAAACCATCCGTAAGCTATTATCGAAATGAATTCCCTTAATCATTGTTACGTTTTGAAGCTTTATTAAAAACCAGTAAATGCAAAACGCATTTTGATTACTGCCATAGTTTGTCTGCTCTTGAATCGATGCGCTTTTTATTACGGTTATAAGGATACAAGGTCTATAAGTCTCTCCGTTCTGATAAGCCCCCCTAAAACCCTACGAAGTTGTATAAACCCAGGGTATTGTTCATTGTCAGCTGTGCCGCTATAAACCGTTCCCTTTTGAAGGTGAAGAACCCTCAGGTGAAAACATGTCGATTTTCCCAGATCGTGAGAGTTCGTCAGAGGTTTTGAATTCTACACGTCAATTTCAGACTATTTTGGCATCAAACGAGCTACGCAGAGAACGGGGTATAAATGAGCGAATTTTGAGTGTAAACATGGTCATAGTCCGCGTATTGACGAGTTTTGTAAAGGTCAGAGTTATTTAATTTGATGATTCTATAAATTTCCTTTCTTAATATTTCTTTATTTTTTTCCTAATAAAAAGACTAGACCGGAAGTAGAGAGTGGTCTGTCAGCGGTTTTCTCGGTAGCGCCTGGGTTATTTTCGTAATCTCAGCTCCCGTGTCAGCTGCGATTTTGCCATCTGCGATTTGAGCTCGCATATCCAAAATACGATTCGAATACAAGGCAAACAACTAAAGGCTTTTTTAAACTGTACTTTTCTTGCCTAAAGTGCAGTTAACATGGGAACTGAATGCTGGATGTTAAGAATCGTGCGGCCTGTTATATTTCAAGATGGTGTCGTTTCCTCATCTTTCCTACAGCTGTGCGTCGTGACAACTCAGTTTTAAATAGGTTATTCCTTGCTCCAAACGGACGATGGCGGGCACGAATTATGACGAGGATGTAGCTAAACGTCTCCGAGGGCTTTGGAGTTCGTTTATGAGCTACACTTCTCCGGAAAATCAACAGGTATTTCGTTGCAACAACTTTGTGCCCTCACTAGTAAATTGTAAATGTTGAATATTTGAAACCGAAAGGTTGAAATTCTATTCGTATATACTGTTTATGGTAATATGTATTGAATTGTGTTGTGTGTTAGTAAGTAGAGTTATGATATCCGTTTTGTTCTATTTCAATTTTTAGCAATTAATGAATGAGGTTGAGTAGGATATGAAGAATTAAGCAGATCTAGGAGGGTGTTTTCCACAGAGGCCGAAGGCCGAGGTGGATAACACCCTCCGAGAGTGGCCCCTGCAACCCATTTTTGGGGGCCAGATATTTCAAGAAGGGGCCAATGTACCAGTATCGTTCTAATATGCAAAAGAGAAGAAACATTTGGAAAGTTAAGGGAATCAAAATGGCAGTTTATTTGAAGCTGACATGGAGCATCCCTCTTTATACACAATAGAGGAAATCTTCAGTAATAAAGCAAACAGTATAATCAGAATGTATGCAATAAAAATAGCAAGTAATTTTTTCATCTCATTTTCCACTTCACTGTCAAGATCTGCTTCTTTTCGCTTCTTCTGAACTGCTTCGCCTCCATCCACTTTTTTGTTACTTACTGAGAAAAAACTTTTGATAAGCCTTGAAGATGCATTTGTCAGGTTTGGTAAACGCTAGTTTCCGTATCTCAAACCGCCCTTGAATACCTTGTGATGCCTACACAAAGTAATTGCATATATGTATACATATATTAGTCAGCCCTGACTGGTAAACGCTAGGTTTATCCTTATTCGCGACGCCATGATGGATACCCATCAGCTCCTGCGATGTTACAAAAGCCAAGTTGAGGCTCAGTGGTCTCCAGACCACTCATGGTAAATCAGGTAAATTTAAGAAGATTCATTGATTGATTTTCACGTTTTGTACAAAGGTACGGAGTCGTTGTTCTGTAGATTAAAAATTCTGAAAATTATTGTAGCTGAAGTAACAGAGACATTTTTAAGCCCATGGAATTAAAGAAGGAAAGGGCCATAATGGCCCTTGAATGCTTTTGGTGGGGGCCATCTCTCGATCTTTTGCGGGATTCACGCAATGGCACACCCTGGCTGGAACACTGCGTGTTAGTTTTCACAACAAAAACAACTCAACCTCGTGCCCAGGTCTTCTCGGTTAACGGTGTATTAACCTGTAGAAGGCTACATTTTTGACGTCATTTCCTCGTTAAACACAAAAATTCTTCCAAATTTGGTCGTCAGTAACCGGTTATGATGAATTGTGCATGTGCTTTTAGCCAATCAGAATTGGGGAAATATTTTGAATGAACAATAATATGAGTTAATTATTAGTGTTTCGGGCAACCAGGAAATTAATATTAGTTTTTTCATAGAAATCCTGCACCCTGTATTTGGGCACCCTGGATTTCAGGTTCAGAGCACTGAGTTCCTTTCAGTTTTTTTTAAGAGCACATCCTTGTTTAATTGCTCATAAATTTGCCTTAAGGTCTCGGTAAAGGAAAACGAGGTGCCCACAGAAAAAAATTCTAGTCGTGCGAGTATTTTCGCTACAAAGGCAAGTTACATATCAAATTAAAGCTAAAAGACTAAATTACCTTATAAAAGATTTTATTTCATCGAATTTCAAAAGGTGCTTAAGTTTTTTGTTCTCGAACTCAGAGGTATCGAGTTTACTGCTGAAGCTCCAGCCCTTTCGCGTTGTTAAATATTCACTTCCTTTTTATTGCATCTGATTGACAGATAAAAGACCTAAAAAAGGGTGTGAGGAAATTTGCAGATGTCTCGTGTTAGCGGAATTATTGCATTTCAAACTAAAAAGTCGAATCTCGAGCGCGATTTACGCAAAGAAACTGACATAAAATGAGTTACAAAGGGAAATCGGAAAATTCCTCACACTCTTTTTGAGTCTATATCATTATCCATCATATCTGAAAGTTTCAAAGGGATAGCTTAAAACCTGTCCTGACTGGAGGTCGGAGAATTTTGATTTTTGCGTCTAAAATAGAGTGAGAGAAAATCAGCTCTAAAGATTTAGCGCGAAGTCCACGCTTGGCTGGTTAGCTCAGAAAAGGCTCATTTTAGAAGGGTTAAAAAGCACTTTCTGATTTTCTTTTTCTGCCAAATTAAAATTTAGGACCCACTCATGCCAAAAATCCAAAAAAAACAAAATCGAGCAATGTACTAAAATTTTCATTTACCGAGACCTTAACATGTGTTTTTTGTCCAGAGTGTGCTATTTTGATACCTCATGAGACGCCTTGTGGGTTATGTGATGGATGGGATTTAAAATGAATCACACCACCGTATTAAACACCAAATGTCTCATGAGCCATCAACCATGAAATCCAGTTTGCTTAGTGTTTGTCTCTTCCTTACCTGTAGGACAAAAGAAAGTGTTTGGAGTTATTCATGGCAGAGTTCTTGGATGCTTATCATGGTGTCAAAGGAGAACTGAAGAAAATTTCCAACTTCGGGTAAGACTCGCCACGCTTCACAGAGAAAACTTAACTCTGGTTAAGTCCATCTGCAAAACAACACCAAAATCGTCGTTCTTGGTCCCCACCTTTGTACCAGGCTTTAAGAACGATTGGCCTGTTAAAAAAGCCATTGTCAATTTGCCAGTTGAAAGATGAAAGGAAATTCGAAATGCACTTCTGGTAATTTGTTGAGTCTGTTGGAGGCCCAGAACTGATACCAGCATTGCTTTGCAGACATTATTAAGTGAAAACAGAGGTTAAAATATGTCTGTGAAGCAGACTAGGTAAGAATTAATAACTCCGCATACCCAAAAGGATTCCTTTATCTCATTATATTGATCAAAATTATCTCTCCATCTTGTAATCTTGATTCTTTTTTTAGCTAATGAGTAATCCCAAACCCGATCCTGTGCTATATTTTAAATAATGCCTTAAGATGGATCCACATCCTCTCCCTTTTTCAAAACTGTACTAGGCAGTTGGATAAAAAACTTGTGGCAGCATGGTACATCTTATACCTGATAGGGTCGAACACTGAATGGCTTATGTTAATTGAGTCAAAATTTTAAAAAAAAACCTTTTTGTTCATATTTCAGATAATGTAACTTTCTGGATCTCAGTTCTTTAAAATAACTTTTCCTGAATCCCACTTCATTAACCCATTCGCCCCTGAGCTGCCATAACTGCCTGTGCAGATTCATGTCCCTTCTACTGCTTCTGACATCATCAGTTTTATTGGTCAAGGACAACTTTGTCTACTTACTGGTGCAGAGTGAAGAGATCTTTCAAACCCGACCAGAATGAGCACAATTCAGTCAAGGACACCAGAGATAAAGGCAAAAAAAACATGTAACATTGACCTGAAAATTTCCTTGAAATCTTGTTCCACTACCCACTTACCTTTTTGAGATCCTAAAAGCTTTCCTAGAAACTTTTCCCACCAAAATGAAGCCTACTAAATGCCCAGCAAAAAAGAAAAAAAATGAGGCAAGAAAAGCAAAAACAGAGGGGAAGAGAGAAAGCAAAATTTTGCTTTCTCTGCATGCCTGACCTTTGCAAGCTTGTATTTTCCATCTGGATCAGAAGGCTGCGAAGTGTACAACATGTAAATGGTTTTATGGTAAGTTTTAGCTCTTTATAGCATGACAGTGACAAGAAAACCTCTCAACTAGCTTCAAAACGTGGTTTTCGTCAAAATTTCCAGGGGCGAATGGGTTAAATTGCCAAAACGCTTGTTCCGTTCATTAATTTTTATTACTAATCACAAATTTCAGTCCACCTACTCCCTGAGTTGTCCTAACTTTAACATCCCAAAAACTTTGTCACCAGTGTGGCTGGCCATCTTTACAAGGTCATCACTTTATATATAGACTATAGAATTTGTTGGTTTAATACATTTTAGTTCTGTTTATTAATTTATTAGACTCCTTGTATCCCAGAGTACACTGTATGAACTTTTGTGGCACTTTTTCTGGACAACCTTTTTTCAAAACAGTTGTTCATGTCTTGGGTGTTAATTACAAAACTATGCCAACATATGTATAATAACACATATCTCTCTACAACTGATAAAGTAATATAAACAAATAACTTGATAATTTCTTTCTGTAGTGATATTCACAGTGTCAGCAATGTGTTAACAAGTGAGTTCCAGGCAACGATTTTTCTGAAATGTCAGGATGAAACCGAACAGTCTTTGGTTTACTATCTTTGCCAAGGGCATGGCCTGCTGTTACTACAGATGCTCTGTATTCTTGCACATAAGGTATGGGGTGAGACAATTTATGTCATAAGATAATAACACTTCCGTCAAGTTAAATGTGTTCATCAAAATGTTTATTAAAGAATCTAAGTCAGGTGATAGCAACTTATTTGAAATTTATTTGTATTCCTTCAGTGCTGCAGTGAGTTGGGGGAGTGCAGCTTTATGTCACATGAGGTGAAAGTCAGAGTGGAGTTTATCTTCAAACATTTCGTTTATTTTTTGGGGGAGGAGGGGGGTAGGGAGTAGGGGGGCTTTCTGGATAATCAAGCAGTATACATGTAGGAAAGAATACTGTTGACATGCATGGTGGAACACGTTTTAAATGCCTTTGGGTGCCTTTTGATTACATTTCTTTTGCCTTAAATTTACTGGTAAAATATCTGTGTTGTTGCAAACTAGCTCACTCGGCACTCTTTCCTCCCCCACCTCTTCAACCCCTTTGCCCACATCCCGCCCCCGCCCCCGCCAAGAGACAGCTTGCTTGAAGGCTAGTAAACTTGCTTTTGCGGAAAATGCAATTTTGGAATTTTATTAGGTTAATGAAAAAGAGTCTGGGCAATGTGTTCATTTTGTTGTTATTTGCAGATTGCTGGATGCAGTTTAGACTTGGCTAATCTACTAGTGTCTCTGTTGCCAGTTGTTGTTAGAGTTCCTTTGCAAGATTATGACCCACTTTATGGTATTGAAATAAAGCTTTAAGATTAAATATGGTATATAAATAAATATGTATATCAGACAAGTATAGCTCTGCAGGCCTACACCCATGTGAAATATTTCTCTAGATTCGCCATTATCATGAAGAAGGCAATTCAAATACCCTGGGGCTGGAAAACCCCATATGAAAGGTAGAAAAGGGACATGAACACCCTGTCTCACCTAGGGTGTTCATTCCTAAAGCCAATATTTCTACCCGTACAGTTATTTTTATGGTCCAGGTTGTGTGCAAATAAAATACTGTGTAAATAACAAACTAAGGCCTTCATACTGTGCTGACGACAGCATTCTATGGCAACATGTTGAACCATCTCTCTTACTAAAGAAGCAGGTAACAGGGTGCAAAGAAAGTCAGTTTTACAGCTTGCCATTTGGGCAAGCTGTAGCTAGCATGTACTAGCCCAAAATTTATTTCAACTAGCCCCAAAAACGTTTTGATGAGCAGGATTGATTACACAGTTTTTATGTAATTTGAATTCCTCAAAGAACTTCACTTGCCCGTTGGGCAAGTTAAGAACAGAATTCACTAGCCCAATAGCAAAATCTACTAGTCCTGGGCTATCGGACACTTTTTTGGCAAGCTGGGTAAACTGTAAATCGAAAGATACACCTGACAGCTGAGTTTGGGATCAGAATTTTAAAACGAGTTACATGTAGATCACTTGGCTTTGTTTGTCAAACCAAAAAGTTAAGCGCACACGTTATCCTTTTCTTTTTCATTGCTGACTTTGTTGTTCGTGCATCAAAGTCATAAAGCAATATTTACATTTAATCCATTATCTAATATTTTTTTCCTCCATTATTCATAATCTATTTATGCTTCATACATCGGTGGACGAAAAGAGTAATAATTTTGGAGTGCATATAAAGTGGACAAGACACTAGGACAAAGAATTGGTTTTGTCCAGGCGTTTCTGAGTCCATCCACATTAGGGCTTTTCTACGGCTTGTTATATAGGAGACACCATGCAGTTCATTAGGGAACATTTATCATATGAGTTTTGTTTTTTTATGAACCCTTAATAACTGTAGGCATCAGGAATGAGCAGTTGACCATCAATGTATGTGTATTACAGTAACTTGCATACAAAAAATAATTGTTTAGCAGAAAAGGCACAAAAGATCTTTCCATTGCTGTGAATCAAACTGTGAAATAGATCATCAGTTAATTTCTGTTCTCACTTTACTTGTCTAGGATTAGAAGTGGTGCTGACTGATTTTGACGAATACTGCCGTGACTCCAAAAGTACATCCAGCCATGCCAACCTTGCAAAGAAAATGATCGTTGACTTACGCTTGATGGGACACTACAGATCACGCACGCCTGTTGAAACGGGACGCACTATTCCTACACCTCAGGAGCAAGAACACTTAATTGATGAAGAGAACTTAAAGTCACCAGATGTTCTAGCTGAAAGAGGACATAACGATGTGTTATTTTCAACGCAGGGGACGACTGAAAGCCCCAACACCACAGAGGATAGCGACATACTTACCAGTCTGACTAGCGTGACCGACTTAGACAGCACAAGTACAAATGCCAGTGAATGTTCAGACATGGAATCCGTCAATGATTTTACAATAAAATACAACAAGGCTACAGCTCTTTTGAAATCACCTGGCGATAGTATTGATGAGAATGACTTCAAAAGTCAAAAACTTAGACCCGTACTTTCTAGTGAGACACCTGCGTCCGAAGGCAACCCATGCGTCAACAGTTTTCAACTGTCAGTTCTTCTTGTGTCAACACTAGAAAATCTGACGTGCCAGAGCAGTTCCAGTCTACATGATCCAAATTTATTGATGGAGACCTGTGGGCAGCTGATAGAGATTCTGCACTTATTAGGCGATGCAAAAGAAAACGGCGACGACGTCCTCTGTAACTGGGAACCCGGAGCTCTTATCGCAGTCCAACTTGTTATTCTCAGGACCGTGTTTGCAATTCTCTATACCACGTGCAAAAATCCAAAGGCAGCCAAACAGCTGTCCAAGTCAGTGTATGTTGGAAAGCTCGTAGAACTAATTTCCGAAGGGTGTCTTGACAAAGAATTTCTTTCAGTTCAGCAGCACCATGAGCTTGCAAAACTTGTTACTAGTACTGCTAGTGAACCTGATAAACGGTCAGTTTCGAAATTATCCTCCTTGTTTTTGTGGAAAACGTTTCAGCAAGAATTACTCCTAGGCTGCTCTTTGCAAGGCCTTTTGCTCTTCCTGACGGCTTGCCTTCATCACGGAACGATGATTAACCCCACCTTATTTGTATTATGCCAGGAGATTTTCGAACAGTTTTCCTCCAGAGGAGGTTTTGAATCTGTAGCAATTTTGCTTATAAAGCTTGATGAAATCTATCCGGAAGAATTAAACTTGGAAGACAAGGAGGGAGAGAAGGGTGGGAAAATTGCATTCCCGGCATGGAGGATTGAGCAGCACGCAAAAAATCTGTCTAGAAAAATGGTGAAGAGTTTGGGAAAGATGGTATCTGTGTTGAAGAAAGGGAAAAGTTGCTGTAAGACCTCTAGAGAACTGAGCAGTCGGAAGAATTCATTGGCAGGACTTGGTCGGCCTGTAATACAAGAGGATGATTATGTGATGTGCGAAACTTATCCGCAGAGCTCGGAGGTCGAGGAAAGCTCAGAATCAGCAGCAGACATGGAGTCTGAAAGTCAAAAACAGGATCAGTTCTCAGGTACGAATCTTGAAATAAACATAATTGTGAAAATGACCACGTAAACTTTTTACCAATTTCGGTTTTTCCTTCTCGCGGTCCACGCTCTTGACCTCCGTATCAATCGCCCCTCCCCCCTACACACACGCCTATCAAGAAGTCTTACCCCTTCTCGATATTTTGTTTCTCTAACCAAGTACTTGTTCCACTTCCTGGCTCTCTACTTCTCCTAGTCCCTCTAAGGCGGTAAACTCCTCTGCACTTCATTCTGAAAAGACAATTTGTGTGCACTTTTAGAAAGTCTTATCGTTAGCCTGCGATCATGTTCTCCCGCCCGGGAGCCCCAGCTCGTAGGCTATCTTATCGCCGACAATTCCTGCTCCCCCCTATCCATGGAAGGCAGCAATGTATAGGGCCTCTACGGATAGCAGTTTTTACTTTGTGCAAAAACTGAAAGAGCTACCCTATTGACATAAAGGTTTCATCTATGTCGGATTTATGATGATTTTTGTAGAATGTAAATACTGTGATGATTCGTACTGCAGGATGACTCTCTTTGACTTTTTAGATAACCTTTGTGCAGTGTCTAGACTTGCTGTAACTTTACTGACAGTTTTCAAGGGAAGCAGGAATGCTGAGCTCAGGATGATCTTACTGTCGTGCTTAGAGAAAGTTGGAATTTGCCACTGTGTCTCGCCTGACATTCTTGTAACATCCCTTCTGAGCAGGTATGTTTGCCTATAATGTGCATGACACGTTACAAAGGGTACTATTAGTTGTTTTATAAAGTTTTGATCTACTTTTCCCTGTACCCACAAGCGTCTGTTCACGGACGTAACATGACGTTAAATTTGATTGTTAACGATACACTTGATGTTGCTTGAATATTTAAAAAATTCAAAAAGTATGAACGAGTTGTCTGCTTCAAATGCCATCTTTACGAAACGAGAAGGCACAGAAGCCTCCTTCAAACATAAGTTTGTCGTCAACTACCGCGAAGGAAGTTTAAGAAGACAATCGTAGTGTACATAAAATTTGCAGTGTTCTGAAGACTGATGAAAGAGTGCCATATTTAACATCCATCACGTGGGTGATCACTCGCCCCCACTTTTTAATCCTGTTTTAATTTTGGTGTGTTCGACTTAGGTTGAAACGTGTTCTGTATTTGTAACTTTTATTCATTTGATGTGCAGATTTCTTGATCAGCCCAAAGACCTTCAGTGCACCATTCTCAGAGTCCTCAATCAGTTAGTACTCGCCGAAGTTGACATCGTGGACCAGAGCTATAATGTGCTGCCATCACATTTATCTCAGTATAAAAGATCACAGCGGTCTCGATCCAAGCCAACAAAACAAAGCCCATCCAGAAGCGACAGTGGCTTCTTCGCCAGTGACTTTAGTGTGGCTGGACTTGGCGCCCACGTAAGGGACATGGCCAAAGAAGGAAGACCTAGGTGGACTTGTCTCTCACAGTACTGTGCACTTGTCTCTGCGAAAGAAATCAGTGTGGCTCTTGAAGTGACTAAAGCACTGAAACCTTTGGCCACTTTAGGATCAAAACAGTTACGGGAGGAGCTATTTCGCATTGTTGTTCTTCCTTGCATCTTGCGTTGTGATGGTGTCTTCACTGAAGATGTAGCTGAACCACTTCAGAAAATAAGAGCGAGGACTTTGACGGGTTCGTCTATTTCTGACTGGCAGGAGCGGAGACTATCTTTGAGAGGAAGTACCTCTTCAACTTTGAGCGATAATGGTAGCAGTGTTTCACTGTCCAAAGACGTCCATGGAGAAGGTGGAATTTGCAAGGATGTCCTGGAACTTTTTGTCTGTTTCTTGAGTCCGCTTCTTAGTAGTTCTTCTTCACGGGAACTCTTTCTTAACTGCGGTGGTTTAAATGAAATGCAGTGCTTCCTTGCATTACCTCAGCTTCAAGAACCTGTTCTTCATGTGCTAGAGTATCTCGTCAAAATTGAAAATCGAGACCAGAAAGCCAGGGTTCTCCACCAACGCGTGGACGACCTAAGTGCTGGGTCGCCCGAGACGAGCAGTGAAGAGAAAAGTGACACCAAGCTATGTTGCAAAAGCTTTCTGTCTTTGCTTCATTATACAAGCTCATTTGGTCAAGAAATTGGCAAATTGACTGATGACTCACCTGAACTGCCACGAATTTCTCCGTGCCATCCTGTAGAGTCTTCCTTGAGGGTCCACGTATGGAAATCTTGCCTTCACCTTTTGATGTCGAATGAATTGTTTTGTGAAATGTTCCTGCAAGATGCTGCTTTGGTGCACGGCTATGATTTACTGTGTTACCTTTTTCAGTTCTTCCAAGAGTACTCCCCTTCAGAAGGAACCACTGCAGCAGACCAAGTTGGCTTGCAGTTTGTGAAAGACCTTGTGAGCCTATTTGAGACCGTTTTGCCGATTTGTATCAGAATGGCTCATACTGATCACTGGCAAAATAAAGAGGTAAGGCGTTCAATAGCCCAGAAATCAGTCTAGCGGGTGTTTTAACGAGGTTTTCAGTAGTCTTCTCTAGGGGTTCAGATAGTATAGGATCAGTACAAAATCAGGGGAGAGCAGGACGCAGAAAGAACTGGGAGGATGAATAAAGGGATTCTTCAGGCGTTCCTTCTTTCCCTCCATATGTCACTCCAGTTCCTCTCGCCATTTTGTTTCTCCTCCACCCTTGATTACAAGCCGCGCAATTGGAACATGCTTCTACCTTAGTTAACGAATATCTACTTCGTTTGTATGGAAGTTTCATATCCAGTTAAATACATATACCTCCTATTCAGTAAGTGTATTCAAGTCGAACAGAATATGATTTCTGTTATCTCTGTTTAGCTGTCTTGTCAGGATTAATATGCTGGTATTACCAGTAATGGGAAAATCGTTTATTTTGATCTCTGCTTGTGTTCTTATCCTTTTCGTAGATACTACCCAGTGTAGAACAACTGGTCGAAGAAGCAAAGAAAACAGTGGCTCAGTCTACGACTTTGCAAAGCCTCATTGATAAAAGACTTAGTAATTGCTTTCTTAAGGCGTCAATTTGGCAGCTGGATGCAACGACAGACACTGCTCAGATGGACAGCGTCATGAAACAAAAAAGGAATGAAATTTTGAGGAGGGGGAGCACTGAAGATAGTCAAGAGGTTTGCCTTCCTACTTGATACCCGTAACGTAATGGAGAATCATTGGTAATGTGAATCCAGTCTTAGCTATACAATATAGACCACGTGCTGCCAGTTAGTAGCGGGTTTCGATTGGCTGAAAATCTGGCGTCATTTCTTTCGCCTACAAGTCGCTTGCATGCATTTTCCCGGGCTTTTTTCCGAGGAACATGCAACTCAAATGCGCTTGGTTTATTTGTCATGTTAGTTGTTTATTAGTCTAGTTATGATCGCAAAGCCGCTGGAAAGTGATTGTATCTGTGAAATTCACGATGACTAGCTTCCTTTGGGTCTCTTATGCATCGCTATTTTTCTTGGCGTTACTAACCGCTCTCCAACTTTCCCTGACTTCTTTTGAAGTGTACAGGCCATTATTTCCCTTTCGTGATGGTTCTTGACGAATCACTGACACACTTCTGAATGAAATTTTTGCACTCAAAAAAATTACTTTGTGTTGCAATTGTTTCTGACGCATATAAATTTCTATTCGATTGTGCATGCAATCACTTAAGTTCTCCTAGCACGCACTAAACATCATTATCAAATTGATCCGTTTATTCCAGGATTGGTCCCATCATCTGGAAGATGACGATGATGATAATGCAACATGTGATACCAACGGTGCCCAGAAAGGGGACATTTTCACCTTGGAAGAGGGCTACGACGCAGACCAGGAAGGTGACTCGGACAGGAGCGACGATGCAGAACAGAGACCTTCTAAAACCAAGAAGCAACCTAACGACAAAAGAGGAAATGACGAGTTAAAGAAGGGTCAGATCACGAAGGGACTTATTTTATACCCACGGATTTGCAATGTTCTGCTAGAATTGTTGAAAGTGTGCTTCGGTAGTAAGCTCCAAGCTGCAGACCCAGACTGGTAGGCTTGATGCTACTTGATTGTTAGTTTGAACTATACAATAATTAGTGCCTGGTATTAAAGATAATTTAATGGATGAGAACTGGCGCGATCAAAGTGTTTCTATTTCTCATAACTAACACGTTCAACAGAGGGTTTTTTGGCCTTTTTCTCAAGATTATTGCTTGGACATTGTTGGGTTTAATTCTTGCAGGATTGTTATGGAATATCCAACATTTTTGTTGATAATTATGATTGTCAAAGTTTTGACTATGGTGGGTCGCTTAAGTTTTTTATGTTTAAAAGTGAAAAAGCTGTTTTGCTAATAGGAATGCTGATATCTAGAGACCTTGGTCAACTTTTGTTACCTCTGACTTGTCTATCCTGTGGCTCTTCTGTCACAGAAAGTGATGCTATTCCTCGATTTAGATGCAGCCCTTTTTAGTTCTTTGAATTGCCTTTCTTTCTTTCTAGTTTACCTGTTGTGGTTCATGCTGTCGACAGCCTCTTGCTTCTGGTCAGAGACTGTGAAGAGAATTGTCGAAGGCTTTGTCTTCAGGTACGTTTTACGTGCGAGAGAAGCCTGGCAGAGACTATTCAAACGAACGCCCGAAGAAGCAGTTTTGCCATCCACTGCCGCTCATATTACTGTTCCGTAACTTGATGTAATGGTTGATGGGACACCACCGACAAAATCAACTGCGCCTGCGCGTGCCCATCCTTCTCTTTTCTCTCAATCTGGTGCTACTAGATTAATATAATATAATTCACAAAGGTTTCCCATCTGTTAATGCTCTCAGGAAACTAGCGAAATTCATTTTCCTCCGTTGATATTTCCGCAATTTTTTGGCAGTAGTGAGAAGATATGCATAAATCATGTTGCGAACCACCTCGTTAGCAGTGTATCTCTTGTGCCACGTACCTAATATCCTCCTCGAAATTCCGCTCGGCAATGATCATGAAAAACACTTATTTGTAATATCCTCCCCGATAATTCCGAACCTTCAGCAAAATAGTTCGAGTTATCATAAAATTATAAAAAGGAATTGGAATTTACTTCGAGTTAACGGGAGGTTCGAGTTATAGAGGGTTCGAGTTACCGAGAGTCGACTGTACCGTACTTTTCAATTAGCATTTTCTTTTACCCTTAAAGCTTCTTAAATAGTTTTATCCAACACTGGAGTTTGTGACACACTGATAAATAGTGTCATTGATAGTAACTGGGCGTTGTACCTTTACGTCTGCTATTTCTCAAATGTTTTTCTTTTTGTCTTTCTCAATACAGGGATTTATTGGCACTCTGCTGGATTGTTTTCATGATGTTTTAATAACACAAACTTCGTTATTTAAAGGCAAGTTGTTTTAAAGTATATTGTTTCAAACTTGCATTCTTTGCGGCATTATTGGCTTTGAGAACTGTGTTATTATGTACTTCAAATAAGAGTCCTAATTAATTTTAAAATGCTGGTAATCCCTAAACCCAAACCAGGGACTTAAGCTACGTACAAACGGACGCAAAAACGCCCAACATTGAAAATGTAGAAATGATCGTCGCAGTGAACGCAATTTATGCAATTGCGTAAAGAAGCCTGAAAAAAATTCAGGACTTCAACGGGGTTTGAACCCGTGACCTCGCGATTACCGGTGCGATGCTCTACCAACTGAGCTATGAAGCCACTGACGTTGGGAGCAGGTCAATTGTGGGTTCATATGTTCCCGTGAAAGAAATGAGTGTTAATGATATATGAAATAAATCATATATGAACTGCGGAAATGAAATGGAAATGAAGGAATGATGGTCGCAGTGAACGCAATTTATGCAATCGCACCGGTAATCGCGAGGTCACGAGTTCAAACCCCGTTGAAGTCCTGAATTTTTTTCAGGTTTCTTTACGCAATTGCATAAATTGCGTTTACTGCGACGATCATTTCTTCATTTTCATTTCATTCCCGCAGTTCATATATGATTTATTTCATATAATTAACACTCTCAACATTGCTGGGCCAACAATGTTGGGAGTTGTTGCGTCCGTTTCGGCAGTGGTCTGCATATGAATGCAATAATTCCCAACGTTGGTGGCACCCACAGTGCATCGTGGGAAGAATACAACCCCTAAGACTTTGTAAACAGTGAGAAATGCGCATGCGCGGCCCCGACAATGTTGGAAGAGCTGTGTAAACGGATCCAACAATGTTGCGCTACACAGGACAAGAAATGTTGGGACTTAGTGGCTCAAGAGTTTGACCGGTTTCAAACTCTGTGCAACATCACGTAACAGGTTGTGCAATCGGCCGCAACATGTAACACCCAATAATGTTGGGATTTGTTGGCCAACAATGTTGCGTCCGTTTCCACGGGGCTTTAAAGTCTGTCTTCTATCAGCAGGATATTCACTCATAAGGTGGTTTCCATAAAATGTTTGCGTTAACAAACGAGCATTTAGCAGCCATACGAAAACCAAGGGAAAACCGGAAATTTCGGGTGGAAAATCAAATTTATAGTTTTATGTTTATGCACAAGATTTCCACCCGGCTGGTTTGTCTAGATGGCAAGCACCCCTGGTTTCATTTATTTATTATTTGTACTTAGACCTGCAGAGCATTACTGTGGATGTCTTCGTTTGCCTTGCAAGATACAGCGTCAGAGCGAATGAGCTGTGGGATTTTCTTTCTTTGTTTAATTCACCAGATCCTCCTGTGGTAAGAAATTAAGAAAATAGTACCAGTTGATTGCCGCGCGCGCACTACTTAGCATTGACAAATTCTCGTACTCCTGGTCGTCCTCGTCTTAGAATCTAAAGGTGTCTATTAAGTAGATGAGGACACCTGTCTCACTTTTCTACACGAATAGGGATACTGATACTTGATCTTGTTAAATTTGTTTACAGCAACTGTTATCTGCAGCATTGTCAGAAGTTGCTGCCAAAGCTAGTGTCCATCCTGGCCCTGCATTTGTGTTGTCTTTTCCTTGTTTTGGAAAAGAAGTTCTGAGAAGATCTAAGTTGTTCAAAAGTAGCAAAGTGGGCAGTGGCAAACGGATCAAAGGCAAAAAACCTAAAATGTAAGTTAAACGAACTTCTTGTACATGAGTTATATTTTTCAAACAGTAAATACCATCTGGTTGGAAACTCTGTGTGTTGGCTTTACGCCCGGTTTATTGCAACGAAAATAAATATTTAATGGTTTTTAATGTAAAGTGAAAATACTAAATTAGAGAAATGCTGGCTAAAATTTCTCTTATCTGTTATCCATTCGTATCCTCATTTGTATGTATCATGGATTCATGATCATTTCCAAACGAGTTTTTCCCTGGTCTCCTGTGTTCATCAAATTTGGTTGTTCTTTGGTTTCATTTGGTAATAAAACTTGGGGAAGGGATAAAGAAATGGTGAAGATGTGGTATTGATCTTGTTACGAGCAGTATTTAGATATTTCCTTTTCGGCCAGACACTGTTCCCTTCGAGGCACATAATTTTCGTGGGAGAGCAACTTACTTTCTATTAAGCCAGTTTTAATGATCTCCATGTCCACGTGCGTGTAGAGTTCTCTTATGTCCGTTATCAGTTCTTTGAATTTGCGTCATTATTTCAGTCCCATAAAGTAATAACTTAATAAGAGCCCCACTCCCTTAAATTAACTCCCCCCGCCTCCGTTTTTTGTTCGCAATTTTAACTAGATGCACGAGCGCTTGTTCAAGGTAATACGGTGTTTATTGTTGTGATTCACAGAAAGTCATCATCACCGCATGACTGCTACAGTGATACGTCTGGTGAAGAGGACAGCCTTCAGGTGGGAAGCTCACCAAGCAGATGGGTGCTCTCTGAGAGCCTTGAAAAAAGCTCGAAAAGATCATCCCAGAGGAAACCAAAATCCTTTAATGAAGGAGGGAAGCGCCGCGGGAGTACCAAACGTGTCACACGCAGACAAAGTGCAAGTCTCAGCCTAGCGAGTACTTCTGGTGACTATGAACTAACTGAGGTGGTGCAATATGAAGGCTGTTCGCAATTGCCCTCGCCCTTTTTGGTACGGGCCGTGCAGTTGCCGTTTCGTGGTGGTTTGCCGCGTTCGGAGAGAGGTTTCAGCTTGTCCATGTGGCTGTGTTTAAGCTGTCCTAGCCAGGATAGCGACGTTGACAGTGGTTTGTCTCTAGGCAACAGTGTTTCTTCAGGGCCGCCTGGCTCCGTTTTTGGAAGGATCAATATGACGAGACAGGAACGAATCGTTCACTTGTGTTCTATTGGTTCCGGGAAAAGTCTGTTTGAGCTGTGGATCATACCTTCTAATCGTTGCATCGTTGCAAGGTGTGGTGGATGAACTGCTATATCCTTTAACTGGGGCTGTGGCACTGTTGTTCAGCATAATTTATTCAAAGGAAGAGCAGACATAATTTAAACCCCATTAGCAATAGTAACGTCTGCAAAGCAGCCCTGATATCCTTGTACTGGGCCCTTCAACCTGATTGGCAAATGGAGAATGGCTTTTTTGACAAGTCAATCTCGGCGCGTTCTTAAATCTTTGCCCAGAACAAGGATTTAAGCGCTGGCTCGCATACGGACTTAACCATTGGTTTGCGCCGCACGCTAATTAGGAACTCTTAGTTTCCCAAGTTTATCTCTGTTGTTTGTAACTATAAATGATAATACTCGGGAAACATTATTTGCCACGGAGATGTAGTTTTGTCATTTGAAAATAATTTCTTCGTTAAGTTACGTTTCATTGCGAGTAACTGGCAGGACTAAACATAATGGACTTACTTTTTTCAGGTTCTTTTTCAACCGCTTAGGTTGTTCATTCTAATGTGAAGATCATGTTCACTTTCTTGACTGATTTCGTTGGTTTCAGGTGGACAAAGAACCACAAAGGCAGTAGCAATCCCTTGATGGTCCTGAAAGAACGTTTTTTACGGCTACCTGCTTTAAAAGTAGGAGACTGGCACCATCTGGTTTTCTCGTTGATTCAGCCCAAAATGACAGCTGGCGATCAGAAGGATTTGGAGCGTGACAGTTTGCCTTCCTCTAAGGTTTGTTGTTTAATTTGAGGTAGTTTCAAGGGTTTTATTTAATTTATGTTAGAAGAGCAGGCCCCAGTTGTTCACAAAATGGATAACGCTATCCACCGGACAAATCACTATCCACTGGATAGCGCAATAGGTTTCCCTAACACTTATCCGTTGGATAGTGATTTATCCGGTGGATAGCGCTCGACATCGACTGAACAACTTGAGCGAGATCTATTCCCTCCTCCAGAAACTCTAAGTGGACTGGGCACAAGCTTACGGCGCAATGATTTCTGGTATGGTGTGGGTGGACATTGGTTGAATTGACCACTCCAGAAAATACCATAACATACCATAATGCTCTTTGTTTGTCACCCCATAATTTTGCATAAGCATTGTCTTCAGTTTCTCTTGGGAGTTAAAATGGCCCAAGAGAAACTGAAAACAATGTTTGTGCAAAATTTTGGGGTGACAAACAAAGAGCATTATGGTATGTTATGGTATTTTCTGGAGTGGTCAATACCATCGTCTAGTTTCTGGAGTGTGAATTCGCCCCCCACCCCTGGGGAGTTGAAATGATATGACATGGCCAACACGCGTCGCGCTATATTATACAGCATATAACCGTTACAAACTAACCAGCGACATGAACATCAAAGGACGGTTGGCGCTTTTGGGGAAATCTAAAAGAAACAAATTATTGTTGGCTGCATATTTTCGAGTGTATATCACTTAGTAAAGAGTGATATATAGTTACTCGCAATTATTTTTAATGCGACAAGATTTCGACTTTTGCTTCAGTACGTGAAGTTTAAAGTACGTGGTCCAGCGCATTTTTCAACGAAAATTAAACTTGTCTGTAAGCACGATATTTTAGTGAACTAACATTTGTACGTACTTATGCATGTTTTAGCTTCTTGTTGTCGTCGATGGCACAGAGTCGACAATTCATGATTTTGGCCCTCCCCTCCCATGGCACGAAGAGGCCAAATTCACCTTGTCAACGCTTCTTATTGGTGACATCATTGGTGGAAACGATTCTAAACGTTCCAATTTCAACACGTCTTTGCAATGTGGATACGAGATTGGAAACGTGTTTGTGTTTACAGGTGAGACTTGCGCTCATGTAAAAAAAAATGTTTGCTTCTATACGCATCAGTAGCAATACCGATATATTTGCCTTTTGTCTCTGTATTTCAGCGTTTGGACTCGGCTTCACGCGTAAGACAATTTTATGCGAAACGATGTAGTCAACATGTCACGAGCACGGGACAAAGAAAAAATCTGAGTCCCCGATAGGAATTGAACCTATCAGTATGACTTTCCGTATCAACAGAGCACCATTTTGAGTCAGTACCTAGGGAGTGGTTCCCGGGTAGCAGGTCTGGGCAGTCCCTAATGTTCGCCCGGTTAGCTCAATGGGATAAGCGCCGGTCTACTGAGTGGGAGGCTGTTTGTTCAAAGCCCGCCGGACCAACACTCACGGTCTTTAAATAACTGAGGAAAAAGTGTTGCCTTGGTAATAACATCTGCAAACGGTTAGACTTTCTAGTCCTCTCTGATAAGGACGATAAACCGTAGACCCCGTCTCACAAGCCCTTGCACATGTAATAAAAAGAACCCACACACTCTTCGTAAAGAGTAGGGCACGTAATGCCCGGTGTAGTGGTCTATCTCACTTTCACACTCATGTATGGGGGCGTCATTTCTCATTCCTTCATTACTTGTCAACTGCACCTTAAGCAGTCTGGCAAAGTTCCCCAACCAGTGTTGTAAATTATCCCTGAAAAGCCCTGAGGAGAGTGGATAATGAGATATTTACAATTTACAATTTATCTTGACCGTTCTTTTACTCAGAAAAAACAGCCAAAAGCTGGAGGTATTCAAACAGTTCTTCATTAGTATCCACGGAATGGCTCGTAGGAGTGGAAGAGGCATTCTTTCTTTACTCGCTTGGCCCCAATAACGCCAGTCTGGGACATCTCAGTAGGGACTTCAATCTGGTATCTCAGAGTTTAAATGAGTAAGTCAATCAGCCATTATACTGCTAGAGGGATTGTATTTTATCACCCCAAAGGCTCGTTAATAACTCGGTGAATCACGTAACTGTTTCAGTCATCCTTTTTACTGCGTAGGTCATAAGATTGTTTGTCTTTTTCATGAATAATTCAGTGTATGATATTTGATATAAATAATGTGCCTTGCGTTTGATATAGATAATTCCGTATATCTTATCACTGGTAAATTTATTTTGCAGTTCCACACAGCCATTCTTAGAAGCAGCAAGTCTGTGGTCTCGCCTTTCTATCACCGAACAAGCTGTCACGGCAAACCTCCCTCCTGGTTTCCTCACTAGCCCTCATGTCATTATTCCTGATCTTGAATTATCTCTCCAGGTTAGCTGTTCTCTCTTGCCTTTATATATCAGCTCACGCTCATAAATACGCGTTTATGGGTGTAATAACCATCGCGCAAAATAAGGCCCCGTCCACAATGATGCTTTTGCGTTTGAAAACGCATACAGTTCGATGCGTTTTCGTTCGATTTGAAAACGTTCTTGAAAGTGGATCGAAACGAAAACGCATACATATTGTATCAGTCTGGACGGTCGAAAAACGGCTGAAAACGCATCAAAATGAAGACGAAGACCGAAAATATCGCAGGCGCGGGTGTTTGTAGCATGCGCATAGAGGTCCACTTACGTCAAAACGTGCAATTCTATGAACGTTTTAATGTGGACAGTAGAAAACGCATCAAAACTGTCGTGTGGACGCGATTCGAACACCATGCGTTTTCGCTGCCAACGAAAACGCATACGTTTGAAAACGCATTAGTGTAGGCATCACCTTAGTGGACATTATTAGTTATCCATGACCGCCGAAGCGGCAAATTTAAATGTACGAACTTCTTATAAATTGTTTATTAGCTCTTCAATTTTCATAATTGTAGATTTAGCATTCAAATTCAATTGTAACTTAAGTTTGCTTTTTATGCGTGTAATTTTTAGTTACTTCGCACATTACTAGGCCTAATATTAATATTGTATTAATATTAATATTAATATTGTATTAATTCTGAAAAACCCAGTTGGGAGAATTGATAATAACACTCTTGCTCTCATTTTAGAAAAAACTTGCGGCTGTCTACTCTCCTTCGTTTCCTCTAATATTCCACCAATATGCCGAACTTGTGACTAATGAAGATAGACAAGGACGACCACCCTCAACAACAGAACATAGACATAAACCAAGAGAGCGTGAGCCAGTGGAGATAACCGCTAAAATCACTTCAGAGGTTGTACCTCAACGGCGTCAAACTCTGCTGGAATCAGCACACGACGTTGGTGGAATTAGCGTGTTTATTTATCTCTTCGCCAAGGTAGGTTCAGCTCCGAGTTCCAAGAAAACGCTATCAACGGCCTCACACTTGGCCTCGCTTTGAAACAGAGGCTTGGGGAAACTCGGAAGTGGCCTGTTTCGCCATCCTCGTGTGGAGGAATTGTCGAGGAGGTGAATCAAAGTCGATAGTTGTCGCTTTCTAATAGAGAAAGATAAAATCACTCTGGATCCCTCTTTTGTTGTTGTAGTAAGTTGTTGATGTCCTTTTGAAGAGAACATGAAAAACGTTAGCGGTGAGACAAATGCGCTTATTTCGTCGTGTCATCAGTTCTTAACTGATATCTGTTTTCGTGTAGGTCGTGGAAATGACAAAAGACGAAAAGACCCAAGCCGATGCCTTGTCAGTTGTGTTGTCGCTACAGTACTTCTCTGCCTTTCACGCTCGAGCTATGGCTGAAGAGTCTGGGTTTGCACTGCTCAAAAGGATCTTGTTGTCGCCGGAGTGCAAGATTGGCTACCATACTCTCAAGGTGTTTTCATGGAGTTTTTATAATCAACTGTCTTACTTTTCATTGAAAGGGGACAAACATCCAATCACATTTCCTCTTTCAATTTGTCCAGGGGGAGCCTGGACCCCATATAATCCTCAGGCTTCCAGTTCAGGCTCCCTCGTCACCATCTTTTTCTGTATTTTTTCTCTCAAATTTACAACCTGTAACGTGACCAAAAAAAACTAAATCAAATACTTGTATATTCCTCTCAAACCAGGTGCTGATGGAAGCGGCTTGTAGTGGCGACGTATTCAAACCCACAAATCTTGCCGACGATCCAATCATGCTGAATATTGACTCCACGGCTGTGGTGCGGAACGTGGCTATTTTCCAGCATTTCTTGTTAAACTGGAAAATCTGGGAGAAGGCTAAACAGGGAGTTCTGGAAATGTTGTTAGCTACCATTGATATCCTGGTTCACGGAAGTCACTGTTACTACGAGTTCAATATCATACAGTTCCAGAAAGCGCAACTAGTTCAGCAAATTCTAATTGGTTGTCAGGTAAGGATCAACATTAAATAGGAAACGAATTGCGTCGGTCACTCATTTGTGAACGTTTTGCTTTAAAGGGGCCATGTCACGTTTTTGCTGTCTTTTTAATAAGCTAAAACGCGTCTTCGCATCAATTGCATTCCAAAAACAATGGACCTTTTTGGTTAATTAATACTATATTTAGGTAATGAAACTGTTTCCTGTCGCCTGTTGCAACGGATGGCAAGCTTGGATATGGATTGAAACTTGAAAAAAATTGGGGCAACTTTTTCAAGTTTATTAAAAATAATAATAATAATAATAATAATAATAATAATACGCGAACTTTCCGGATAAACGGCACATCTCGTCTAAAATAAGACGCGGCTTAGCTAAGCCGTGTCTTATTTTAGAACAGCCCTTAACACCTGTTCTTAGATAAGACGCGTCTTAGCTAAGACGAGAAAAACTTCGTATAAATGACCTTCGCGTCTTACATAAGACGCGAACGCATAGTACGCATGCGTTAATTTTTGGCGCGCCACGTTGGATTGCCGTTGCTACAGGCAACATTCACATGAAAACGAGTCAAGAACAGAAATAAGACGTGAACCATTTATACGAGCTGTTCTTGTCTTAGATAAGACATTCTCGTATAAATGGTACAGTTCGCGTCTTATTTTTCCTCGTATAAATGGCCCTATTGTTAGTGCTCCCTGATTAAATTTGTTTGATGTCTTCTTCATAACGTTCTAGTAGCATTTTTCCATTAGCAAAGGCACTAAGTAATCCCTTCAGCACAGAATTGACCTAAAATAGCAATATCCTTGTTATATATAGTCTGCTACACAGCCGTTTTTAGTGTCGTCACGCAACGCTCCTCTCTTAGTGGGGAGAAGCGTTGCGTGACGACACTAAAAACGGCTGTGTGGCAGACTATGTTATATAGTCCCTTCAAGTCCACAGACTTGTGAAGAAAGGGCGTGTGGGTACATCGTACCGAAAACGCTTTGTCATATATCTTTCTTTCCGGTTTGTCAAAACCATTCCCCGCTAATCTAGTGTTAATCATATATTACTGTTAAATCATACACCCGACATAGCGGGCTCAACAGTATGTCAGCAAACATTTTAAAGAACATGCGCCGTGGTAGCCGTCCATGACGACGTGGACGACGTTTCAAATCAAAGACAGTTGCGGCGGTTGGCAGAGATCTCTTTTCCTCCTGCCTGCCCCAGCGAATTAAAGGTGAAAAGAGGCCTCTGTTAGCAGGGAAATCTACCAGCATTGGTCAAGGAACAAGACATGATTAGATCAGGGCTGATCGTAGCTGTGAACTGCATCTTTCTTTGAACGTGTCGTAGTGTGCATGTAGCGGTTGAGTTCCCTGCTTCGTTTTTTTCGCCCCTTTAAAGGTCATGTGACCTTGTCTTTCGTTCTCGCTTGTTATTCTTTTGGCAAGTCTTCGCAGCTTGGGCATTCACTCCAAGAAACGACCGGGAAAATTGATTTCAACGCATCGTATTGTTGGAACTTTGTGTATATTGGCAGGAATTAGATGGTTTAGCGGTTGGAAATAATGGTGCGTATACAATAGTGAACCCGTCGCTATTTTGTATATGCTGCTACTTTAATTCTGCGTCGATTTAATTTTTCCAGGAACGACAAAACGAAGGGTGCAAAGAGATTCCTCGAGTTATCAGCTCCATGTATGTGAACATTATACAAAACATCATGGGGCATCCTCCGGATTTGACGGTCCTGAAAGCCGTGTGTGAGTTCCTTATAGCAGTTCATCCTACTGATGATATCAATCGTCTGCACGCTCCGAGCCGCTGCTACCTCAGAGAACATTCGCTTGACTTCGGTATGTTCCTTTTTCTCGCGTCCGCGCTCGTTCTCTCGTCTTAACGTCTGTGAAAAGGCTAGTATGTTAAAGGATGTTACAATACATTGTACGCACGATCTGTCTTCTCATTGGCCAAGAGCCTACATATAATTTTAGAAATCAGCGCAACCTACAGATTACGTGGTGATCTGCTAGCAGATGACTGAATAAAGTGCAGGTTTCGCGCGCAATAAATGATTTCCAAGTGCAGTGTCAAAATTTGTTCCGTGCGACAGTGTATTTATCGTTATTTTCTTCAAAACTATGTATAATGAAACAATCGTTAGATTCGGTTTGTGTGGGCAACTGTTATCAGCCGAGGCCTCCGGCTTTGATCTTGACTACTCCGGATATCACGAGAACCTCATCCAATAATCGTTAAACATTTCTTGTAAAAGGTGTAATGCTGTGGGTCCTCTTTACAAATCCCTCTGGCCCCAGTTGGTCAAAGGTGGATAAAACACTATCCAACTGATAGCGCTATTGGTTTTCGTAATACTTATTCTGTTGATAGCGATTTATCCCGGTGGATAGCGCTATCCAACTTTTGAACAAATGGGGCGCGATCTTCAAGTTGTAGAAAGAAAATAAGGTAAATAAGAAACTATTTTTTTATCTCGGCGGGGATTGAATCCATATAAAATCATTATTTTTTGTTTAACCTTGTTTTAAAACCTGCTGTGCTTAATCATCGTTTTCTCTTTTCAATTCAATAGTTCAAGTGTCTAACCACTCATCACCTACAGCAAGAAGATCTCTACCATCTCCTCGCACAGCTCCTATTCGCTCTATACATTCTCGCAACCCTTTTCAGTTTACCAGCCCTAGAAAGAGACTTTCAAGAAGTTCTATGAGTCGTTCCCTCAGTTATGAATCCTTTAGAAACAAGCCTCAAGAAAATAGGCTTGACGATGTCAAGAGTTTTAAGAAACGCGAACAGTTAACGCAGATTTCAGCGGGTAGTGTCGGTGAGCTTAACAGATCACCGACGTATCCAACGTATTCTGCGTCACTTCCCGTCGAGCGGCGAACTTCCCCGAAGATGATACGAAGACCTCCGGAAGACAGAATGCTCCAATTCGGCGCTTCAGTCGAAGAGGGACAGAACGGTACAGAGCACTTTACTCAGGAAGAACTTGGTACGACGCGTGGGGATAGAAAACTGACCGTCTTTATTCCGCAACGCAAGGTCAGTGAAGGACTCAGTAGTAGCGCGCTTGTGCTGCATGAGGATCACTTCATGGAGAGAACCCCTAGTCCCCCGGTGTTCAGCCCCGGGACTTCCCTGGCAACGTCGTATCCGGGCACAAGAAGCATTCCCGGGAGTAAACCGGTGGTGATCGGAAGGTACAGGTCTACGCCAAGTCGAGACGAACAGTCCAGTCTTGATCTTATGGAATATGACATGATCAACGAATCAGACTTCAGTTCTTTGCGCAGCAGTGTGGCTAATCCCAGCTCAAATGATGACTACCTGGTTGTTGAAGGATTTCCTGGTTTGCAGTCTAGCACAGTGTAAGTAGGGTCTTAACAGAGGAGAACATAAAAAAACAAAACAACGACTTTGCACGTGCACAACACTTTTTGTACATTTCGTTGCCTAATTTCGCGTTTCATGGAGAACGTAAACAAGCAATCACGAAACCAAATTTCTCTTTCTGAACTTGGATATTTTCCGTAGGAATTCAAATCCGGTTGGTTTCGCCTACGTTTGACAAAGTAATTGGGCAGGAATAATTGAGGGAAAACAAAGAGTATTATGGTATTTTTTAAAACGGCCTATTTTACTTTTCATGCAGGACTTGAACTTTACTTTTCTCTCTCCAAACTTAGTTACTTTCTTTCAGAATTCGAGTCGAGAAAAATTCGCCAACATTTGACAAATTGAATAAACAGTTTTATAGTGACATTTTTGCACCCGTCGCCGTCGTCGTTGCTTTAATAGGCAATTTTACAGCTCTGTGCTCAGTGCCCTGGCGTTTGACTAGCAGTGACCTTGTTTTGTGACAAACCTTCTTGTTTTTCATATGTAAATGATCATGTTCGGGCTTGATAGCGTGAATTACCACGAATTGCACATGAAAAGCAGGAAGGATTGTAACAAAACAAGGTCACAGCCAGCCTCGACTGTAAAATGGTCTATTGAAGTCTCAGGGTTTGAGCCAGGCCGCGCCATTGCGCCAATCCCGCACTGCAATTGGAATTGTCCCTTTACAAAACGGCCAAGGGGACAATTTGTCCCCTTCAAAATTTAGGGAAAAAACTCGAAAGGAAGCACAGACGAAGAGATTTATTTCGGTACAGAAGTTGCAAGCTGAAACAGAACGTGGAAAGTATATTTTATCGCACCTTTAAAGTTCATTCCAAAGTTACGTTTCAGTCACGCTCTACTGCTATTTTGTCGGAAATCTAAGACAGGGCTTCTGATTTTTCGCGCGGTCGCGGAGCCGCGAAATTCACAAGAACACGAAAAATACCGCGAAAGTTGGTAGAAATCTTATCAAATACATGTCTGTACAACATATTTGAAACTTATTTCAGCTATAGGGGATATTTACTTGCCGTAAACTTGCAAATTTATCTTGGAACTTCGTCACTGAAACGTGCAAACAGATTATGTTGCGAAAAACTGGGCACTAGCCATCATGTTAAAGGCTTTGCCATTGGTTCATTTCTGGAGCGTATTGTTGTTGAAAGAGCAAATGATGACCTCTGTTAGAAAAACGTTAAAAAGGCTGGTCTGATCAGCGCAAAACCGATCGATTTCTAGCGAAATTTGCCTTGAAAATAACCACAAAATCGGCCGTTTTTTACCGATTGCTTTTCGGTGAAGTTTGCCCCGAAAAGTCCCGCGAAATCGGCCGATTTTTCCGCGAATTTGTCCCTAAAAATCCCGCGAAATTTGACTTTTTCGTCCGAGACCTATCAGAAGCCCTGCTAAGAAGGAAGGGTGTACAAATTTCTGTCCCCCTAAAAATGAAAATGTCCCCCAAAATTTTAGCCAAGGGGACAAATTGTCCCCTAGTGATCAAATCCTAGCTCAAACCCTGAAGTCTTACCCTTAGTATTCAAGTCAGTAGTAAGCGTTGGAGACAATGTACCCCTTCTGGACTGTTAAACTAAGCGAAAGGTGGAAATGTCTTTCGGGGTACTCTTAAAATTGTTCAAAAGATTTGCTGGACAAAATTACTTCTGCGATTCAAGCTTGCAAGGATACATCCATCTTTAAAATTTGCCGTTGTTGTATTGTGAACTGCTGCTAGTGTTTCTGCTTCTTTTGTGTTACGTAAAACAATGTATGAGGAATTTGTTTTCCAACCAATGCGAACTTATACCCTTTGCACAGGACGTACTGCCCTGCAGGTGGAGACCAATACGCACAGGGGGCTGATGCGATGATTAAATTGCGACTGGGGCTAATGAAACTTTTGGAAAAGCAACTGTTCAAGCTGCCCTCTGAGCATGTTCCAGCGGTGATCGGTGAAGTGCTGAAGGCTGAATATATGCTGATATGGGCTTATCACGACTCTGATGACGTTAGGGAACTTGCCATAAGGGTACGTAATACTATTTAGAACCCTTTGACCTTCTAATTATTCACAGAAATGTACGAATTAAATTCTGTATCGGGCCCATTTAAATGAAATCTGTAAAGCTGTATGGGTTCTTTGTGGGGGGCTCGAAAAAAACTTGAATCCCGGCTTGTCCTCTGGGTAAGCAGCTCTTCCATTTTGCTTGCCCGGGGCCACTTCTGCTCGTCTTCGTTAATGATTTTGTTGGAGTACCACTTGCCTGGACTCTTGCCGTCTGGGCAAGTGAGCTTCAAAAGTTACTTGCCCAGTAAGAAAATCTACCTGTCCTGGTACTGGACGGAAATTTTTTCGAGCCCTGTTGAGCAACCACATGCGAGGATGAAGATAGGCAAATTCTAAGATATGAGCAGGTGATGTGCTGTTTTAAAAGGTGTGTTTTACTTTCTGACTTAACCCTGGGAAGTTTTTTCATGTGTCATGAGTTTGCATGATACTCCCAATTTTCAGATCCTGTTCCAGTATTTGCAGAAGGCGGAACCAAAACGCTATGACCAGTTCTTGCGGATCCATGGATTTCATCTACTAGCCAATCAGGTATTTTTAAAAACACTTTTATTATTGCCACTTTTGATGGTGATGGTGACCATGACGATCATGTTGATGGTGATGATGATGTTGATGATAATGATGATGATGATGCTGATGACGATGATAATGATGATGATGACAATGATGATGATGATGATGATGATGATGATGATGATGATGATGATGATGATGATGATGATGGTGATGATGATGATGTTGATGATAATGATGATGATGCTGATGACGATGATAATGATGATGATGATGATGATGATGCTGATGTTGATGATGATAATGTTGATGTTGATGTTGATGATGATGGTGATGATGATGATGCTGATGACGATGATAGTGTTGATGTTGATGATGTCGATGATGATGATGATTTTGATGTTGATGTTGATGTTGATGTTGATGGTGATGATGCTGATGACTATGATAGTGTTGATGTTGATGATGATGATGATGATGATGATGTTGATGTTGATGGTGATGATGATGATGATGATGATGATGACAATGATGATGATGATGCTGATGACTATGATAGTGTTGATGTTGATGATGATGATGATGACAATGATGATGATGATGCTGATGACTATGATAGTGTTGATGTTGATGATGATGATGATGATGATGATGATGATTAGACTGATGGTGGACTTTGGACCCTTTTTTGTGGACTCGGCGACTCGAAAATGTGGACTTAAGGACCGTGGTGTTGACTTTGAGACTTGGAGTTGACTTAGGGACTTACGGCAAAGTGGACTTGAGGACCATTTGTGGACTCAGCGTCTTTTTTTGTGGACTCAACGACTTTTTGTGTTGACTTAAGGACTACGTTATTGTACTATCTTTACCATCCCTATATTATTCATTCTATCTGTTTTTGACAGACAGTTCTATTGCACTTGAATCACACAAGTTGGACAAAACTTCTGAATAGATGTGACTGTGAGACCGTCACTCAGCAGCCTTTGGGAACAATACGATCAAAATGAGCTTAGAACGGGAAAAGTTATTACGTTATAAAATGTAGTGTAATTACAGTCTATGACGACAGTGTATAACAAAAATTATCCTTTATTTCAGTTATTTTTTCCCTTGAAACAATGCAATAAGAACAGCATTTGAGAAAAATAAGAAAATGGGCTAGAGTGGCTTACAATAGCAAATTTATTTTTGTGGCCACCGTCTGTGAAAACGAAAAACACAAACACCCCTAAACGTTCCGCGTTTGGCATTTCCACTAATTTCTGTTGGGTTCTAAACGATGTTCGTCTCAGTTGTGTTAAACAACAGACGAGTAAAACTACTAAGGAATCAATTTGAAAGAAACTCTGATGCAAAAGGTTACACTAATCAAACCTTTATTGATACATCCGAGGGCAAAACTGGTAGTTGATGCACCAGAGGCCACAAGAATACTATTGAGAATTTGTAAAACCCAACTAGTGGTCTATTACCAACGCTGTGTTCTGATTGAATGAGCTACTACTAGGCTATATGTGATAGCCCACTAGTAGCGAAAAGTGCCGGCTTTTTGGTGGCAAAAAAAGGATTAAAGTCTAGCTTTAACTAGCTAAAGTGGTTTTATCTCGATATTTTTGACCAACTAGTTGGATTTTACTGAAACAATTATTCCTCTCGCCCTCATGGCCATTCCGGCTCGAGGAATCATTGTTAAATATCCTTAACATAACCACGAAATCTACTACAGTGTACTAGGGTAGTTAAATTGTAGAATTTTCGGACAAAAAATATGAAAATGCGCTAGAGTGGCTTCCGGTTGAACATTAAAAGTAATTTATGTATTGGCACTGTCATTGTAGTTACAAAAACGTACAACATATCTTCATTCTGCGTTTGCTGTTTCCGCTTGTTTCTGTTATGTTTACATTGGTTTCCAACGATCTCCTTTGTTGTGTTTGACGAAAAACGAGTTAACGTTTCAATTTATCGAAAACCACTCCTGCGCAAAAAGTAACATCAAACTGGTTTTTTGATACTTATAAATCCGTGCGTTACAGATTGTTCGTATACATAAACGACGGTAGTGATGACCAAAAAATCGACTAACGAGGTAGTACCATTCTAGAAATTTCAAGGTGATCAGTGCACAAAAAATCCTAAACCTATAGGCCACTTCTGAGTTCCAAAAGCCCTCACTTTCAAAATGAGGCTAAGGGCACAACCTTTTTTGTGAAAGTGAGTTTTATTTGCATGAGAATGAAAAATTATTTCCATATCAGTGGCTGAGCACTTACCCTCGTTCTGATACAAAGGTCCAGGGAACTTCGGAAGTGGTAGGAAGTGGTAGGTTTTGGTGGTTTTGAAGTAGTAACATGGCAGAAATAAATTTCATGCAGATGATCCGCAAAAAAAAACCAAGAAGACACAGAAAACTAAAGCATTTTGTTCGAGACAACTGCTGTCTTTCAATTATTAAAATAAGTTTTTCTTTAATTTATTTTTTTCCGATCGTCCACCATGAAATCAGGAATGCTCTCCTTTACTTTCTCCACTGCCTGATGTGAGTTGCACGAAGACCTCTGATCTTGTCAGTAACTTTCTGCTTAGAATATTTTTGTATGATGTCTTCATGGCCGGTCTCGTTCAATCGCTGTACAACATCTTTTGATTCAATCTTTTGACTGCCTTGAATCAAGTCCTTAAAAAGTTTTGAAAAGACCATCACCTCCTCTTCTTCAAAAACTCTCGATTTTCCTTGAGTTGTAGTCGGACTTATAATTGAGTTAGAGTCGCTCGCATTGTCATTACAATCGCTGGCCTCCACGTCTTCAAAAAGAGAACCCTGAGATTTCTTGAACCTGTACAATCCTCTCACTTTGTCCAACAGTCTTTTGTTTTCACAGTCTACGAGCAGTGGATTTGTGCGCTTAAGAGCAAGGACTTCCCGTAACGTAATTGATTGGCGGCTGATATTATCTGCGAAGGTTTCTTTTATTGCTCTTTCCTCCTCCTTTGTCCAGGTCTGGCGGACCGGAGGTACAGGTACCGCATCAAGATCACCATCATCTTTTCCTTCAGGAGGTGAATCAAAATCATCTTTTCTCATACTAGGTTGCTCGATGTCATCATTTTTGCTACGTGATGGTACAGCAGGAGAACTCGGCCTACCATGCATTACGGCCGTCAATTGCCTAGCAGCAAAAGCGGAGTTTGTGCGCTTTTGCACGAGATGATAGTGCTTATCTGCAGTTCGTTCAGTGTGTGCCATATGTGCGGCGACATTACCCTTGACCTCTTTATTGTACTGTCGAATTGCTGTTGTGCATGACTTCCTCATTAGTGTTCCTGAGATACGTGTTTCCTTATCAATCATACCACCCTTTCGCCAGGCGCTTGTTATAGCTGATGACAGATCGCTGCTCTGCATCTTCGCTCCTTTCCAGTTTAAGAACAAGCAAGTGGATCCACCGCCCTTCACAACTTGCTGCCTTGCGTGCTCGACGTAAATGTCCAACCAACCTTTGAGGCTTTCATCGAAGCAGAGATTTGCTGGGCCATGCTGACTGTATGTTTTATGATCTTTAACAGATATCATGTATGTTTCATCGACACAGCTTATTTCCTTGTACTCCTCTAGAGTACTGTTCGTTATGACACCGCTTCTATGCCCATTCTGGGAAAGCAGGTGTATGAACAAGAAGTTTCTCAAATCACAGTACTCAATTTGGCCTAGAGGTGTAGAATTCTGGCCTTCGTCTATCAAATCGCCAATGACCTTGACTTGATTACGAGCAAACTCTGACTTAGCAAACTCTTGAACTTTTTCTGGGGTAATAAGACGTGCAAGATCTTCTTCTTGTTTCTCCCAAAATCTCTCTTTAACCTCTTTACGAAGACTTTTACACCACTGCCCACATTTTTTAAAGAGGGCGTCTGCCGTTTTTTCACATCCTCTGGGAAGCCCGATGTCATCCTCGGTTGTAGCGAACGTATAAAACTTGCGCAAAGAATGAAGATAACTGATTGTGGTTGCTGCCTTGTGCGACGCTCTCGACTCTGGATAAAACTTGTCGCGAATTAGAGCCTTGTCAAACAAGCTTTCAACGGTTTGTGTTCCTATTATCGACAGTATTGTCTCCACTTGTCGCACCACTAGCGCAGCTGGCCTTGCATCTTTTTCGCCCCCATCGGGGCTAAGGATCCATTTCCCGAACGCTTCGAATACTCTTTTACTTTGTTGATCACAAGCTTCAGTTTGGACCTCCACAGCATCATCGCTTTCTGCACACTCCTCTAAATATTCAAGGTCGTCTTCACCATCACTTGCCGATTCTACAACAATCACTTTGTCTACAGTCGAAGTTGAACTGGTTGCCCCCAAGGTCCCTGTGTCGTCATTCATATGTCCTCTAGGTGCAGCATTTTTTACTCTCCTTGAACTGGTTACTTTTTTCAGTAGCTTCTTCACCTGGTGAGTCACCTTCTATCTCGACAAAATTCTGAGCGAAAGAAGCACTGGACTGATAGACAGGCCGGGATTCTTTAAGAGCCTTCCAATACCTCTTTGTGCCTTGTATGTACCCGTGCTGCTTCTGTAAGTGTTTTGATAGATACCTTTGCTTGCGCCCACACTCGCAACAGACTTTTCTCCTTCTCTTATTCCTCACTTCTTTTGGCTTCTTCGAGTTTCGTTGGTCGTGGCGCATGTCAAATTGATTAACAGCATTTCTGGCTCTTTCGGCACTCCAGCCATGCACATTCTTTAAATGACGAGGGAGCTTATATACTTTGGAGCCACAGCCGCGAAGAGGGCAACGAAATTTGTTTCTTTTGTTTGGTTTCGCATCCTTCTCGTCATCTTCCTCGTCGTTGCTTTCTGTACTTTCTGACGATTCCGATTGACTGCTGTCTGTATTATCTTTCTTGCTGTTTTCTGTACTTTCTGAAGATTCCGATTGACTGTTGTCTGTATTATCTTCCTTGCTCATTTTTGGGGTCCTTGATCTTGAGTGACTTTGGGGCAATTTTCTTTTCCTGCTTATTGATCGAGAACCAGAACTATTCTCAGATCTTCTTAGTTTTGTTTCTTTTATGAAGGCCTTCGCTTGCTTTGTTGTCTCTTCTTCCGTTTGCTCCAGGCCCGATAATTCACTCTCGTTTTCAGTGTCCGGCGGATTGCTTTTGGTTACTACTTTGTACAGTCCTTTGAGAGCCCAAATGTGTCTCCCAGCCTAAAAAAGTGAAGCAATTTTTTATTATTTATACACATTAAAATGGATGTTGAGTTCTCATTTTCTAATATAAAATAGTTACAAATTAATGTTTTTACTTGTTATCCTACAGGGATATGCTAGTCAGCTCAGCTTACTCTGTCATTTCTGTGACGAGACATCAATGCAATTACGACATGCAATGCAGGATACTACAAACTAAGAGTTCAGCAAAGAGATGTAGCTTACAGTTAAAAGTTTATGAAACCGAATTACCCCTGCTTCATGTCTGATCCATAAATATAAGTTTATACATGTCCCTATAATATTCGCTTCACTTGAGTTCCCTCGGGGGAACCCTCTATCGTTTTTGCCCTTACAAAAAACCTTAGAGGCTAAACAGACTTCAGCCCGGGGAGGGGGGGAGGGAGGGGGTTTACTTCCTAGAAGTACGCTAACAGGTAGTGCTGCTGGATGGGGTCGTATTTTCACGACTGGATTGACTTTTATATTTCTTTTATTTAAGAGTTATAGAATGGGGTCACACGTTTTCAGGATTTTGGGGGTCAGAAAAATTAGGTATTAGGAAGATTTACACCACATTAAATTTAACAAACATGTCAGTTAATTTATGGATGACCTGCTCAAAAGGTGTTATAAGGTAGATGCATAAACAGACAGTCACTAAGTTGGGATCACGTTTTTTCTAAAGTGACTAAGATGGGGTCTATAATATGGCCACTGTAATGGGGTAGGGGCTCTGAGAGGCTAGTGGTGGCAGAGACCCGACAAAGATTATCCCAAGTAACCCCCCTCCCCTCCCGTCCCTTCCACAAGGGGCTTCTAACAAGGTATCTACAGCTGGTCACTCATGAAGAAAACTTAACAATGTCAGGGCTTCATTCAAACAAGCTCTGATAAATTAGATGCTCCTACATAATTGTAACATTAACAATAACAATAATAATAATAATAATAACAATAATAATTACAATAATAATAATAATAATAATAATAATGATATTAATGGTAACTGTAAGTTACATTCTATAAGCATTGTTCAAGTAAGTGAAACTGGTGCTGTATAAAGGTTGCAAATGGAAGAAAAGAGGTTTGAAACTAATCCTCGGTAATTGTTTATCGTTCTTACAGGTGCTACAGTGAAACCTTACAAAATACAATATTCAGAGACATGATCAAGTTTATGACAGTGTTCCTATAAACACAATTTGAATGAAGAAATATTTCTGCTTCCTGTGTACTTTAATATTCTTAGAATAAAAATAATTAAAAACGAAATTATGAAACTAGAAAAAGAAATCGAAGAAAATGTGACATAATCTTTTTCAATAATCGGCAAAATGACAATCATTGGCAGAAATTGCTCAGTTTTGTCTCATCGTTGTACTCTGTCGCTTAAATACATGTACAAAAGATTATTGTTGTTCTATACCAAAAATGAATTCTACAAGATACTATTATAGCATCTATGCTTAATATAAATATTCTTCGAAAGTTCTCTCGTTCAAATCGTTACGATTTTACTTTCACTCTGCTTCACAAAAATAATCATTGTTTCTTTATAAGCTTACCTGTGATTTTTTTAATTGCTCTTCTCCCTGGCAAGCCTGACGAAAATCTGCGCGGGCTTGTTTGAGCTCAAGTAAGATATTCGGTCCGTTGTATCTACTATTTGGATTCATTGCTCACTTGTGACTTGATGTCTCACCCGCAGGAGTCGAGAACTTAATACTAAAACAGCAGAAAACAGGGTAAGAAGAGTGCTGAACGCGGAGGAAACGGATAATAGATCTTGTACGATCAATACTTCAACAAAAGCACTAAGATTGTACGATTGAAAAAGCCAGATCTAAAGGACTTTACAATTACCTTCACTTGCATTTGTGTCCAACAAAAAACATGGTCGACAGCGTGGAATGAAAGCAGCGTCACAATGCACGCTGGAAAATGTCCTTGCACTTCCGGTTTTTTTGTTGAATGCAGCACGTTATCAAAAGTGTCCAAAAATTACAAAAATACAACGGCCAGGGAAAAAAATTACAGCGTACATTGTGTTTCCATCGTGTTTACAACATTGTTTTCGCCCACCTTTTTAAAAATACTCCGTAAAATTCGTTGATTAGCCATTTTGCCGTGCCTCTGTTATGGAGTAGATTACAGATGATGACCTTCAAAACGTGAAAAAAGGGAAAAACTATAGCCGCAGTCAGGAGTTTATCATTGATATCCCTACTACATTCTTATCACGTTCTGTGATTGATAAGTATACACGCACACATAGATAGAATGTATATATTTTTTTAATTTCTAGTTGCAGTTCGTATGAAAAAACTAGTCACTGGCTCCCCGCCAAGTACTATTTGATACTTAATTTAATTAGCTGCAGGTGTCGTGAAGATCTGAAGATGTGAAAAGCACTAAACCAACGAATATGACCAGCACGTAAATTTATCTGTTATTAACCCTAGTTTCCATTGGGAGTGTAAATTGCTGACTTTAGTCTCACTTAGGGTGGTCAGGATGGAAATCTAATGTTTTTAAACATACAAAATTCTCCACTTATTAAAGAAAATTACTTTAAACGCGCTCATATTGTGTTACCGGCAGTATATAATTTCATACAACTTCGCGCAATATAGATGCAATATAGATCACATCAGCTCCAGTATTAAGTGGTCCCTGGAACTGGTTGCCTTTTTAAGAATCGGCTATTTTAAGGGAGAAGCATAGTCTGAGCCACACCCATTTTGGTCTATTTAAGGGGGTTCAAGAGAGTTTTGCACAACATTCTTGTACCTTACAAACGGTTGCCACTGTACCTCGGTTTCAAACATGATGCATCATTGCAAGTTCGTTGGGTTTTATCGATGTATTGTGGTTTACCTTTGAGAACGCAAAAAGCGGTAACAAAACTTACGCTCCAACTTTTCAACCTAAGGGGTGCATTAATTTTTTTTGTTGTTGTTTCCGATACCGGTCTCCCCAAAGTAACATGAAACGTAACTTACCTCAGAAGCCTCACACCTCTCTGAGATCAGTTATGTCCTCAAAATACGACAAACTTGAAAATATTTGGACGTAGAGACCTTTAGAATCCAGCGCAACTTCCGTGGAAAAAGCGACCTCATCGTTCATAAATATGGATCTCCCGGCTCGTGGTTTTTACGAAACACTACCAAACTCGAGCTACATCATTGACTTTGTTGAACGTTATCGCCTTTCCAATTCGCTGCTCTCTCGTCAAAATGTTCTCCAAATATTTTAATATTTCTATCTGAAGCGTAATTAAGTGGACTACGGGACCCGGTAGGTAAAAGGGGTACTCAGAAAAAAAATTCGAAAAAAAATTATAAACATAAATATTATCATTTCTAATTTAAAAGACAGTTAGATATTACTAATAACTACCTCTGACGTGAATTTCACGTTAAGCGATTGAATACAGCCTTTCGTATTTCGATTTGCGTTTGAAAACGCACCTTTTAAATTCTTCGCAAAATTTTTCCTTCGCAAGTACCGTTCAATGTAACACATATCGAGGCGTTTGCAATCGCTCGAAAAAAAGAGGAAATAAAAAGGTCTGTGGTAAGTCATGAGCTGCGAAACTCTTAAATGGTATCTAGATAACTCGCAGAATTGGTAAAAATCGGAGTTTACCACTTAATTTTAGTCTTTACCACTAGATTTGTTGACTAAACGACTTTACCGACTTAAAAAATAACTTCATAAAGACCCGTTTTAACCATTTCCGGTCATTTTTATACACAGTATACTTATTAGCTTCTAGTTACTTGTTATGCCTTTTGACTGGAAAATAAAACAATTGTGCCTTTGGAGGAACCATTTGAAGTCAAGGTCGCAAAGTCCGAAAACCATCAGTCTAATGATGATGTTGATGTTGATGATGCTGATGACGATGATAGTGTTGATGTTGATGATTATGATGATGATGATGATGATGATGTTGATGTTGATGTTGATGATGATGATGATAGTGTTGATGTTGATGATGATGATGATGATGATGATGATGATGTTGATGTTGATGTTGATGTTGATGATGCTGATGACGATGATAGTGTTGATGTTGATGATGATGTTG